TTTAACTCATCAAAAACTTGTATCAAAATATCTAATAAGTGTATACATTTCCAAATATCATTTATTTGATGGGTTGTCATTAGCTTTTGATGTTTTAAATGATCAATGTTTTTGTCAAAGAATACCTTCATGTTATTTTTGTTTTACATTCAAATAGTTGGTAGCATTCAAAGTCACTTTCAATGTTTGTGTTATTATATTGATATGTATGTTTCATTTTACCTTGGCAAATGCAATGAAAAACAAAAATATGATTAGTTATTTATAGTTTACAACTATTAGTCTTCATATAATAGAGATAAATAAACAAAATGAAATACAAAAATATGAGTAGTGGCTGAATCGGATCATTCTGATTAAATTTATGAAGTTCTAGCTCAATTGGCTGTATTGGCTGATTCTGCGGATTCATTAAAAAATTATACTTTAAATATTTTTTATTAACAAAATAAAGAAAAAAGTATATGAAAAATAGCTTAAATGGACATTTATAGTAACTTCGCCAATGCAACCAGAAAACTAATTCCAACCTTACTTATTTTGACTGTTCAATAATTCAACGCGAAATAAAAAGTTACGTGTTTGGTGAAAAATTTGGCTTATATGGCAGATAAGCCGAAAAAATAGGGTCACCAAACAAGTCTTGGGGCAGCCTCCTTTTAAAATGAAAAGGGAAGGCTTGCTCCTTATGCACCCTTGTGGTGGGACCCTTCCCTGGACCCTTTCCTTGCAGGGATGCCAGTATGCACTGGGCTGCCCTTTTTAGTATTTCATTGAGACCAATCAGGCCTTAACAGAAAGTATCCACCAGACCACCACAATGCCCTCATGAAGGAATTACATTATGCATATATAAGTTAATAACAGTACCTGCAAACTTTTTGTTTGTGAATACTGGCACTCCATCCCCTCTTGACTCGATAACTAATTTGGTTCATGAATGATAGTTGGTATTATTTAAAATTAGTTTTACTTAACATTTTTTAAACTTCAAAAACCATTTGATTTAGTTTGGGGTTTAGGACAGATTGTTAAATTGTTACCTTTTAAACAATTCAAAATGTTTGATAAATTTAAGAGGCCAAAACCTTGAGTACTAATACTTCTCCTAATAGAGTAATATCTTAATTTTTTAGAAATTAGAACAAATACATACTGAAATACTCATGTCCAAACATTTAATATTAATTTTTAATAAACTGTTATGATAAATTTTTAATCATAATAATACATACCTATAATCGAGTAAACAATCATATAACACACGACTAACACTACATTTATACTAAATTGTTAAAAGAAAAATTCTTAAATACGACCGGGGTAGATTAATATTTTAATTGGTTAGAATTTAGAAAAAATAAATAGTCATTCCTTACTTCTAAATATTTAATAGTAATTTTTAATAAACAGCTATCATAACTTTTTAATCATAATAATACACAGACATTATGTAATAAACTATCATATAACACTCGAGTAACATTTCCTTTATACTAAATTGTTAAAAGTAACACTTAAACAATCTTATTGTACAAACCCTCTTTATCACTATTATTTAAACTTGAAAAAGCATTTGTTTGAAAAATCATCTGACTATATACAATATGAATAGCCTCTTAAACTATAGCACTGTTTGAGCATTCAACAATAAACAATACAAAACAAGGAGCGCTTTAACCGATGCAAGCTTTTTTTCTAACAAAAGACTTAATATATTTTGATAAACAGTACCACTTTAATCACTTTAACATAACTTATTAATTATATTAACAAACCAGGAGGTTTTATTGTAATTTAAAAAAAAATACAAAGAAAAAACGAAATGTGTAAACTGAAATGTTCATGGGTGTTTGAGAAAAAAAACTATGTGAGCATGGGTGTGGGGTTAGGGTAGCAGACAACCTGTGGCAGTGAATTTATAATATGCATAACATGAATATAGAGACTGCGGGGCATATTAATATTCAAGGTCTTAGCCTCTTATATGATCTAGAGTGACGGGTCGAAACTAACTTTTAAGTAAGGTGAATACCTCAACAATTTATCATTTATCTTATCCCACGACCCCTAACCATGAGTGAACTGCTAGAGGGTGTTTGTAAAACGAGAAAGTGTTGGGGTCATACATATTGAAGCAGCACTTTATTTTTCAAACTAAAAGATAGCTGATTTCTACTAACAATCCAACACTGGAATCACCAATACTTCTTGCATACTATGCAGTTCAAATTATACGTATTGAATTTATAGATTTTCTTAAAAAAATCAAACTTTGTTTCATATACGAATGGATAAAAATAGTTATTGAGTGATGCTTCTTAGGGAGGAAACCTATAGACTCAACACAACAATAGATATCAAAAAGTGCACCAAGAATCATTGGGACTTGGGTCAGAACTTACTTGCATATTCTAACCCTTTTCCTACCAAAATTACTCATGTTGCTTGTATTAATAAAAGCTAGGCTCTAAATCCACAGTCTTTGAATAACACAAGCATTCCTATAGATTTCAACGTCTTCCGGTCTGTACCTTCTTATTGGGTTTCCTACTCAAACCGTAATGGTTGGAAGTTGATTGCTAGTTGCTTGGGTTGTGAACTGACTAATTAAAAATAACCTCAATGAAAATAAAATTTACCAAAACGATCTGGGTCCCAAATACTACTTCCTACCATTGAAACTAAATGAAAGAAGACGCTCAAAATATATTAAAGTTTTTATGACGGAGAAACATGTCAACCCAGAACAACATCTCTGAGGCCACAAATGTAGTCATATTTGTGAAATAAGCATGTAGTCATATGTAGCAAAAATTGTGGCTTCAAATATAATACTCCAATGTTCTATCAATCTTTAAACATTCCTCTCCACTTGACGATGGGCATATAAGACAATATTCTCTACATTGCAATAACAGGTGCTGCTTTGTTTAAATCTATAGGAAGTAACCCTTAGTATTATTAGGTTGTAAATTCTGCACAAGTTGTTGTACCCTTAGTAATACCTTGGCCACATCCCTGACGCTTCCGTTAAATAAAAAACCCAACCTCTCACGTCGTTGTATTTCTTTCCATCTGCGTTTTTTAAACATCTAACGAATCCACTCACCTGAAACCCAATAGACAAAACCCCTCTTTCATCTCTAACATTTCTAAACATCTCCTCTAACTCCTCAGAATAGGTGCTCTTATGGTATGCCTAAATTCCTAATTTTATTGATTCAAATTTGAATTTTAACTAAACACCTTGATACTTCGTACTCATCTTCGGATGTTAGCACGCCCTACGTAGTGGCAGTAATGGAGCCATATAAATTTCCCAATTATGCTTCTCTTGTGCTCTAAATTGTTTGTCATTTCCCAACATGTTGATTATATATTCAGTCTCTTTCCCGCACTAAATTGTTTGCCATTTCCCAACATGTTGATTATATATTCAGTCTCTTTTCTGTTAACTAATTTGCAGTTTCTTTTTACTCAGAGATATTATCTGATGTCAATGTCGCGGATGGTTCCATGCATAGCGCCTTAGCCCAATGCTCCTTCAGATCATCCTGACTTCACATATTATGACCCCCCAAAGCTAGATAGCTAATCAATGTTAATATGGAGGGATAATGTTCTTATATACATTGACATTTCCCAGGTGCCTTTTGAACTATATGCCTCTTCTTACTATACCACTTTGAGAACAGAGAAATAAAAACGGTTTTTGTCTTGTTGTTTTACAATCATATTATGCCCCATAGTTTGGGGCCCAAACTGTTGGCTGAAATGGTAAAAAACATTTTTGGACTATATATATGCCTCTTACTACATGTCCCTAAAAAGGATAGAGATGCTTTCTTTACTTTATTTGTTTGGGATATCCTCTCGGTCATTCTAACTTTGTCCGAAGCATCTACTTTTATGAGTTTAGACAAGGATTTTGCATCTTTAATTGTTCATATTTTGAGGTGCTGGTGAGAAGAGTTAAAATGGTGTATAAGTTGTTTTCTGTGTGCTCTGTTCATGACTCACTGTTTGCTAAGAAAAATTGTTTTCTTAAGTTTAAAATTGCACTGGAATTTGCATCTTGGAATGAAATGTCCTTTTTAAACTTTAGTATAGAAATGATTTTGTTTTCATGATATCCATCTCTTTTAAACAATTAGGTGGACATCCTTTAAAATTAACCACATTCCTTTCTCTTGGCAAATTTCATTATTTTTTATGTCGTATTCTTTCTCTACTTCCCTTGCCCCTTTCACCGCTATTTTTTAGTTCCTTTTTGGTGTTATATATGCTTGTCTTTCATTGATTTTTGCTCGTAACTTGAGTTTTTATATTCTCATTACACAATCTGCAAACTACAGGGCAATAAGGGTAATGAGGGAAACATATTTTATCACCTTAATACACAAGGATCAACATCAAAACCGGCATGATAATCATCGCTTTCACTGTGGGATTGATGACTTTAAGCATATAATTCTCTTGCTACCTCACTACCCTTAGAGCATCATGCTTTCTTGACACTTATTGCACATCCCTTATTGCCTTTTAATTATATAACATTTTCACGAATAGGTAGCTTATAGAAGCATTTTATTGTCGAACATATTTTGAATGACTAGGTTTCTAACCTATTATGTGCAATAAAGGATATTAACTCATGTAAACAGTGTACAAATTTATAGCCTAAGACCTGAGCCTTACAACCGAAAACTGAAAATGGATTGTATGAAAAGTTTACTAGATAAATTGTGGTTCATGGTACCAATCTCTTTTCATTTTCATTTTCATTTTTGGTGTTTTTGTATTATGTTCATTGCCCTCTCTTTGTAACTTGAGCTTTAACATTCTCATTGCAGAATATGCAAACTACATTTGGCTCCTTGTATACTTTCATTCATGATAAAATTGATAATGAACTAAAGAAAAGAATTGAAGATATTTCTCATGAAAGGAGTTGATCGAATTGATAAATATGGGTGAAAATATAAAAGAAGGATAGAGAGAAATAATCCTCCTAAGGAAAGTTCAATATATGCATATGTAATTATCTTGGAGCATTTTCATGCTATATATAATACAAATACAGATGTGATACGAAGGAGAGAGGAAACAAGCATGCATGCAATGCATGTGACCCACGTAAACTAAGGGTGCAAATAAATGAAAACAATACATATGGAAATAATGGAACACTTTAGAATATTTAATTATCTCAATACTCCCCCTCAAGATGGAGTGTGAAGATTGCGAACACCCAGCTTGCTTCGAAGAAACTGAAAACGATCCGTTCCAAGTGCTTTAGTAAATATATCTGCCACTTGATTGGAAGTAGAAATGAATAGTGGTTGAATTTCATTTCTAGCGACCCTTTCTCTGACAAAATAACAATCCATTTCCACATGTTTGGTGCGCTCATGAAAGACTGGGTTAAGTGCAATGTGACGGGCTGCCTGGTTGTCACAATAAAGGGGTGTGGGGCTATTGTGGTTGACCGTGAGGTCCTGAAGTAACCATCGTAGCCACACTATTTCACTAACAGTGACAGCCATGGCACGGTATTCAGCTTCGGCAGAAGAACGAGAAACAACAGATTGTTTCTTTGTGCGCCAGGAGACAGGTGAACCACCAATAGTAATGAAATAACCAGTACTGGAGCGACGAGTAAAAGGGCATCCTGCCCAATCCGCATCACAATAACCTTTCAATGTCAGGTCATTAGTAGATGATAAAAAAATCCCTTGTCCTGGTGTATGCTTTAAGTAACGTAGGACACGTATGGCGGCATTGAGGTGAGTTTGTCGAGGACTGTTGAGAAATTGGCTGAGCTGACTAACAGCATAAACAATGTCTGGGCGGGTTACTGTGAGGTACAATAAACGCCCAATCAATCGACGATAAGAAGAGGCATCCACTGGTGGGCTATCATCATCTGGTCGCAATTTTAAATTTTGCTCCATGGGAAATGTACTGGGGCGGCCTGCTAGAAGCCCACTTTCCTCCAAGATGTCAAGAGTATACTTTCTTTGACTTAAGACAAAACCATCAGGAGATCGTGCAACTTCAATGCCAAGAAAGTATTTTAGCTTCCCCAAGTCTTTTATACTGAATTTTGTGTCTAAGTAATTCTTGACAGTGGAAATGTGAGAAATATCATCCCCGGCCAACAGTACATCATCAACATAAATAAGGGCATAAGTATTGATGTGACCATTTTGGAAAATAAATAATGAGTGATCTGCTCGGGACTGGCGAAAACCAATGTCTTGAAGCGCTTGGGTAAATTTATGATACCAGTTGCGTGAAGCTTGTCGTAGTCCATATAGAGATTTTTGTAACTTGCAAACACGAGTGTCACCACTTTTGGCAAATCCTTGTGGAATACGCATATAAACATCTTCGGAAAGATCTCCATGGAGAAAAGCATTGTTAACGTCAAGTTGGTGCACAATCCAATTTCGCTTGGCCGCAACCGCCAACATGCATCGTACCGTGACTAGCTTTGCAACAGGTGCAAATGTTTCATGAAAATCCACTCCCTCAATTTGTGTAAAACCCCTTGCCACCAATCTAGCTTTGTAACGTTCCACATCTCCATTTGGTTTATATTTAATTTTATAAACCCATTTGGAGTCCACGATCCTTTTTCCATGTGGCAAGTGAACTAGAGTCCAAGTATTATTTTCTTCCAAGGCAGTGATTTCCTTTTGCATAGCCTCTCTCCATAAAGGATCCTGTACAGCAGACTTAAAATTTTTGGGCTCATCACGTGAGGTGATGGCCGCTAGATAGGCTCTGTGAGTGGGACTAAATTTATCATAATTAATAAAATGGGAAATAGGATATACCGTTGAGTCAACATACACACAAATTGCGTACCAAAATAAAATGCATAAAGTATGTGTAAAATTGTCACATTGGTATTGGAATTTCAGATCATTTTTTTCTCAAGAACTTACTTCAATTTGCATATTTTTTTTCCCATATAGTATTTAATTAATTCTAAATGCCAGAACGGTTTATTACTATTATACATGCCACACAATGATCTCGCTTAGACTTATCTAGTCATTATCCAAAATAATAATGATTTGGAGCTACACGTAGGACAGAATCTGATATTCTTCCTGGGATTCTTGCTTTACACACTTTTAGGCAAAAAAGTTGGTCAAAAGAACTTTAGTACTACTCGGGTTAAAAATTAAGAACAAGTATGAAGCGGGCTACCGCCCTTTTTTACCATCTCCTCAGTACCATGGCAGAAGCAGAAAAACATTAAAAATTTGAAGCAAGTTACTGCTCATTTTTGTTATAATCTTAGCACAATAGCAGAAATTATTTTCCCTGTAAACAATCAGTGGCAATGTTTTTGCAGGTATATAAAGGGTCTACTGGGTATAATATAATGGTCGGAGGGATGGAAATGAACAAAACGGTTATGGTTTAGAAACAAAAAACTGCAATGTTATGCGAATAATTGTTGAGGTACCCATCTTGCTTTGAACTTGGTTTGGACCAGTCATTCTAGATCATCGTAGAGGCTTAGATCTTCAATATTAATACGCTTGTGGTAGAGTATTTTTTTTTTTTGTAAAATTATAACAAATAGATAGTCAATACTAATGTCTGAACATTTAATAGTAATTTTAATAAATTGTTATGATAAATTTTTTATCATAATAATACATAGGTATAATGTACCATACTATCATATAACACACTACAAACATTTCTTTTATACTAAATTGATAAAAATAAAAACTCAAACAATCATATTGCACAAACCCTCTTTATTAATATTAGGGAAAACCGGAAAACTAACTTTAAATAATATAAACTATCTTCCGTGAACCAAGAATAATACGTACTTTGAAAATAAGTTTTAATAATACAAACTATTTAAATATAGACCAATAGTGATATAGAGCATTTTTTTAACTAAAATTTCAACTATTTAACTCATCAAAAACTTGTATCAAAATATCTAATAAGTGTATACATTTCCAAATATCATTTATTTGATGGGTTGTCATTAGCTTTTGATGTTTTAAATGATCAATGTTTTTGTCAAAGAATACCTTCATGTTATTTTTGTTTTACATTCAAATAGTTGGTAGCATTCAAAGTCACTTTCAATGTTTGTGTTATTATATTGATATGTATGTTTCATTTTACCTTGGCAAATGCAATGAAAAACAAAAATATGATTAGTTATTTATAGTTTACAACTATTAGTCTTCATATAATAGAGATAAATAAACAAAATGAAATACAAAAATATGAGTAGTGGCTGAATCGGATCATTCTGATTAAATTTATGAAGTTCTAGCTCAATTGGCTGTATTGGCTGATTCTGCGGATTCATTAAAAAATTATACTTTAAATATTTTTTATTAACAAAATAAAGAAAAAAGTATATGAAAAATAGCTTAAATGGACATTTATAGTAACTTCGCCAATGCAACCAGAAAACTAATTCCAACCTTACTTATTTTGACTGTTCAATAATTCAACGCGAAATAAAAAGTTACGTGTTTGGTGAAAAATTTGGCTTATATGGCAGATAAGCCGAAAAAATAGGGTCACCAAACAAGTCTTGGGGCAGCCTCCTTTTAAAATGAAAAGGGAAGGCTTGCTCCTTATGCACCCTTGTGGTGGGACCCTTCCCTGGACCCTTTCCTTGCAGGGATGCCAGTATGCACTGGGCTGCCCTTTTTAGTATTTCATTGAGACCAATCAGGCCTTAACAGAAAGTATCCACCAGACCACCACAATGCCCTCATGAAGGAATTACATTATGCATATATAAGTTAATAACAGTACCTGCAAACTTTTTGTTTGTGAATACTGGCACTCCATCCCCTCTTGACTCGATAACTAATTTGGTTCATGAATGATAGTTGGTATTATTTAAAATTAGTTTTACTTAACATTTTTTAAACTTCAAAAACCATTTGATTTAGTTTGGGGTTTAGGACAGATTGTTAAATTGTTACCTTTTAAACAATTCAAAATGTTTGATAAATTTAAGAGGCCAAAACCTTGAGTACTAATACTTCTCCTAATAGAGTAATATCTTAATTTTTTAGAAATTAGAACAAATACATACTGAAATACTCATGTCCAAACATTTAATATTAATTTTTAATAAACTGTTATGATAAATTTTTAATCATAATAATACATACCTATAATCGAGTAAACAATCATATAACACACGACTAACACTACATTTATACTAAATTGTTAAAAGAAAAATTCTTAAATACGACCGGGGTAGATTAATATTTTAATTGGTTAGAATTTAGAAAAAATAAATAGTCATTCCTTACTTCTAAATATTTAATAGTAATTTTTAATAAACAGCTATCATAACTTTTTAATCATAATAATACACAGACATTATGTAATAAACTATCATATAACACTCGAGTAACATTTCCTTTATACTAAATTGTTAAAAGTAACACTTAAACAATCTTATTGTACAAACCCTCTTTATCACTATTATTTAAACTTGAAAAAGCATTTGTTTGAAAAATCATCTGACTATATACAATATGAATAGCCTCTTAAACTATAGCACTGTTTGAGCATTCAACAATAAACAATACAAAACAAGGAGCGCTTTAACCGATGCAAGCTTTTTTTCTAACAAAAGACTTAATATATTTTGATAAACAGTACCACTTTAATCACTTTAACATAACTTATTAATTATATTAACAAACCAGGAGGTTTTATTGTAATTTAAAAAAAAATACAAAGAAAAAACGAAATGTGTAAACTGAAATGTTCATGGGTGTTTGAGAAAAAAAACTATGTGAGCATGGGTGTGGGGTTAGGGTAGCAGACAACCTGTGGCAGTGAATTTATAATATGCATAACATGAATATAGAGACTGCGGGGCATATTAATATTCAAGGTCTTAGCCTCTTATATGATCTAGAGTGACGGGTCGAAACTAACTTTTAAGTAAGGTGAATACCTCAACAATTTATCATTTATCTTATCCCACGACCCCTAACCATGAGTGAACTGCTAGAGGGTGTTTGTAAAACGAGAAAGTGTTGGGGTCATACATATTGAAGCAGCACTTTATTTTTCAAACTAAAAGATAGCTGATTTCTACTAACAATCCAACACTGGAATCACCAATACTTCTTGCATACTATGCAGTTCAAATTATACGTATTGAATTTATAGATTTTCTTAAAAAAATCAAACTTTGTTTCATATACGAATGGATAAAAATAGTTATTGAGTGATGCTTCTTAGGGAGGAAACCTATAGACTCAACACAACAATAGATATCAAAAAGTGCACCAAGAATCATTGGGACTTGGGTCAGAACTTACTTGCATATTCTAACCCTTTTCCTACCAAAATTACTCATGTTGCTTGTATTAATAAAAGCTAGGCTCTAAATCCACAGTCTTTGAATAACACAAGCATTCCTATAGATTTCAACGTCTTCCGGTCTGTACCTTCTTATTGGGTTTCCTACTCAAACCGTAATGGTTGGAAGTTGATTGCTAGTTGCTTGGGTTGTGAACTGACTAATTAAAAATAACCTCAATGAAAATAAAATTTACCAAAACGATCTGGGTCCCAAATACTACTTCCTACCATTGAAACTAAATGAAAGAAGACGCTCAAAATATATTAAAGTTTTTATGACGGAGAAACATGTCAACCCAGAACAACATCTCTGAGGCCACAAATGTAGTCATATTTGTGAAATAAGCATGTAGTCATATGTAGCAAAAATTGTGGCTTCAAATATAATACTCCAATGTTCTATCAATCTTTAAACATTCCTCTCCACTTGACGATGGGCATATAAGACAATATTCTCTACATTGCAATAACAGGTGCTGCTTTGTTTAATATGGAAACGAAGTTCGAACAATGAACATAGTTTTTTAAATGACACATCTAGTGAATAATTGATAACACTTCGTAAGTTAGTTATTATTTTGTAATAATAAAAGCAATGCATACGGCATACCAATTGAGAGCAATTTCCGGATACTTGCAGTACCCTCAATTTTATTAAACAATCAATGGCCACTATTTCCCCAGACAAAAAAAATCCAGACAACAAACACTGGGCGCCGCCTACCCCCCCCCCCCCCCCCCCCCAAAAAAAATGTGGCCCACAAACGCTGGCCCACGCCTACCCAGACATAAAAGTGGCCTCTATGAATAATATATATATATATATAGTAATTCAAATATAATGTATTCCAATCATCTATCATGTATTCAAATTCTCATGCCATGTAATAAAAGTAATTGCAAGTAAAGGTAGCAAAATTTGAAGTTAAAATGACATACCTTTGAAAATGTACAATGCTTGCAGAAGATTGTTTGCAATCCGCTCAGCCCTAGAGGGAATACAGGGTAAAAAGCATTATGTAAGAAACCCATTTTTCGGGAGAGAAAATAATTTTTCGGGAGAGAAAATAATAATACAGACCTACATTCTAAAGAAGGCATGCGCTTCACATACAACAAATAAACTTATAAAACACCACAAAAGAAAAGAATAATCTCTAAATTTTTTAAGTGCCGACTTGGAGTTCAACATTTTCTTTAAAAATAATTTTTCAGGAGGCCTGGAATGATGGGTAATACTCATATCTTAATTTTAGAGAAACTGAAACTTCGAATGATCATAATAAATACAGAAACTAAATTAATGCATTTGTTTTCACAAAAAGTACTCGGTAGTTTAAGTTCTTAGCTCTCCATAGTTTTCTATAACATCAAAGACAGATTTTGCAATACGCTTTTGGTCCAAAACAATCAATACACAAACTTTAATTACATACCAAACCTTACCGTAACACAAAAATACCATATAAAAAAGTCCACATATGGCAACTGGTTTGTTTCTCTCTTAGTGGTATTAAAAGTACTGGTTACCTATGTTCAAGATGCCATGTAATAATAAAACCTTGACTGTGAAAAGTGTTAAATATGAGGGAAAGTATAACTTAAAAGTATAACATAGTACAATTTACTAAAATCAGGAAGAAGGAAAATGATATGACCTAGTATGGGATTAGCCTCTTTATTTGCCTCTGATTTACCAAATTATTGAATTATAGGAGGAGTTTTTAAGCATTAGTGATGTTAGTATACTGTGATACACTGCACAGGCAGTCTACTCAAGAGGACAGTTCAACATACACAACTGCTCGACTTCTCGATCAGATTAGTGTGACCAAGGATAACAGTGACTATTTGTGGTACACAACAAAGTCAGCTCTTTGTTCTGATTGTCCTGTTGTCTTTCTTTAAATCTCAAAAAAGGGAAAAGAACTTGAAATTAAATGAAATATAACAATCATTACTAAATACTAATACTTACTTTACCACAAAATGCAGTGTTGATATTAGCCCATCGGAATCATTCTTAAAAAAAAAGGCTGGAAGCCCACATTAGTTATCGAGTCAAGAGGGGATGGAGTGCCAGTATTCACAAACAAAAAGTTTGCAGGTACTGTTATTAACTTATATATGCATAATGTAATTCCTTCATGAGGGCATTGTGGTGGTCTGGTGGATACTTTCTGTTAAGGCCTGATTGGTCTCAATGAAATACTAAAAAGGGCAGCCCAGTGCATACTGGCATCCCTGCAAGGTAAGGGTCCAGGGAAGGGTCCCACCACAAGGGTGCATAAGGAGCAAGCCTTCCCTTTTCATTTTAACAAGAGGCTGCCCCAAGACTTGTTTGGTGACCCTATTTTTTCGGCTTATCTGCCTTATAAGCCAAATTTTTCACCAAACACGTAACTTTTTATTTCGCGCTGAATTATTGAACAGTCAAAATAAGTAAGGTTGGAATTAGTTTTCTGGTTGCATTGGCGAAGTTACTATAAATGTCCATTTAAGCTATTTTTCATATACTTTTTTCTTTATTTTGTTAATAAAAAATATTTAAAGTATAATTTTTTAATGAATCCGCAGAATCAGCCAATACAGCCAATTGAGCTAGAACTTCATAAATTTAATCAGAATGATCCGATTCAGCCACTACTCATATTTTTGTATTTCATTTTGTTTATTTATCTCTATTATATGAAGACTAATCGTTGTAAACTATAAATAACTAATCATATTTTTGTTTTTCATTGCATTTGCCAAGGTAAAATGAAACATACATATTAATTTACTGGACATGGACACGTTCTCTTCTTTTCTCTAGCATTATACACAATGCAAACATAGCGGTAGTGTTCTTACGGTGAATATAGTTAGCTTGCCCATTTAGTAATAAAGAAAACACCAATTCCAGGATCTGTTTATGGTAGCATGGAGGGAAGGAGATTCACATTTACTGGACAAGTTGATCTTCAAGCTGGGAAAAATGAGATTGCTTTACTCATTTTCGGAACGGGACTTCCAGTAAGGTTTTTTCCCTTTCAGGTGGCTCCCACTTTATGCTACTGATTGCATATATGATTGATAATTTAATACCTTTTCTAATTTCAACTGAAGTCCATTATAGATTTTTTTTTTAAACTGCTTCATAGAATGTTGGGACTTACTTTGAGACGTGGAACAAGGGAATCTTGGGGCCAGTTAACCTCCGGGGACTAAACCAGGGAAATAAGGATTTATCAAGCCAAAAATGCAAATACCAGGTAAAAATTGACATAGTTCTTTGTAAATTAATCTTTAAACAGTTTTCCTTCTGTTTATTTATTCATTACAACTCTTTAAACAGGTTGGGTCAAAAGGAGAATCAATGAACTTGTTCTCTCCAAAAGGAGTCTCGTCAGTTCACTGGTTTGAAGGACCATCAGTCACCCAAGTCCATCAACATCTGAGCTGGTTCAAGGTAGGAAAACAGAAAGAGGTTGAAGTATTGGACACTATGAACTAAATTAGGACTTTGTGTGATATTGTATTTTTATAATATGTTTCGCAAAATGGTGGCTTGTCTGGGTAAGACTTGAGGTTTCATTTTACGGTCAATATCATAGGAGATTAATCCAAAGTTTTATATCAGAATTTGTTGTAAATTGACTGTTTAACACAAAATAACTGACAATATAAAAAGTGTTCCTTTAAGGTTTATAGAAAACACAAATGATACGTATAAACATTCCACAATCCAGCTTAATTCAAAAGATTGTTGAAGGTAGCCTTTGTTCTTTTTTGCTTAGAGGTTACCTCATATATATTAAGTAGAATGACACCAGAAAGTTCATGTAAAACTTTACAGGGGTGAGAAAACATATAGAATAACTGCTATTAAACAATAATTGCACTGGCACCTCTTTAGTCAAAAAGTTATTGTTATTCTGGGCAACGGGTTACCCCGTTGATTGTTATTTTTTTTGCTCTTGTCACAGTTAGACACACATTGCACATACACTGCTCAAATACACCTAGACACTTTCGACATACCTTACATACCCCAATTGATTATCAACTGTTATTAGTTTTACACAAATTCATTACTGAAAATAAACAGGTAGATAAAAAACATAGCTCAACAAAAACCCAATTCCCTGAATATATAAAGAAAACAATTGACAAAACCATGGAAAATACATTATTGAAGCCACGGTAGATGCTTCATGTATTATGCGTAACTGAGTAACTCATAGTATGATACAGAATTATAGCACTTTCACTAATGCCCTAAGGGTTAAGGTATCAACAATAGTATACCATGAAGCCAGAAAACAAAAATAATACAAAATATGTTGAGAGTAAAAAAACTATTACAGTTCATCATATTCAACAAACAAATTCTACACACCTCATATTATCGTATTCTACATTTGATCTTTGCCTAATTAATAGGTTAGAGTTTGAACACCGAAGTGTAATATAAAGCAACAAACAGTAATACTTAGATATATAAAAGGGTTGCTTAGATATATTGAAAATCATAAAAAACAAAAATAAGGGTGAAGCGCTGCAATTGAGGATTTCAGGGCATTCCCTAAAGGGATACAGCAACAAACAAAAAGAGTGTCCGACTTATGTATACTTCTTGAATTTGTCAAATTTTAATTTCTCCAAATATGTTATTAATAGTAGTAAGGCAGTGTGCATAAGAGAATCAAATAAATAGAACAAATTCTAATTATCTTCATTAAGGAATACAGATTACAGAGCATGCCAGAAAGGAGAAAAGCCAAGAAGTGCGTTCAAATATGGACAGAAAACATACCGGGAAAGTGAGTGCAGGTGGCGAAAATCCTCTGCCAATTGAATAAGATGCATTTATAGGGCCATGGGAGAGGAGGATAGAGGTTGGCGGCGCCAATTGGGATTCCATAACCCACGCTGCAGAGGAGAGGATCGATTTGCAGTTACAAGGGGAAATTTATCGTTTCATAAATGCGAGATTAATGAATACCCACCTGCGAGGAAGACAAAGGGATGGAGACCTTGAGGTCAGCCTGCGTGACCGAAGAGGGCGAGTCCAGACGGAGCAAGAGAAGGGGCCTGCGCGATCGAAGAGCACAAATCGAGATAAGCAAGAGAAGGACCCTGCCTGCGTGTGCGGCTAAAGTTGGCCCCTGCGTGTGCGGCTAAAGCTGGGCCAGTGGGAATGACAAACGGAAGGGTAATAACGGAGGTAGCGGAGGTACGGGAGATATAAGGCAGAGTAATTGCAAAGTTTACCAACATTTAAGCACAATGTACATGCCAACAAAGCTCACAATACTACCAACAAAATATCTATACCCAATACAGGCCAACTTTCATTCACCTTTATTATATTGTAGAGATATATATATATATATATATATATATATATATATATATATATATATATATATATATATATAGGGGAAAGATCAAGTACAAAGTGTGCTTATTGTGCAAATATTTGTACGATGCACCTTGACGTTATTTGCATTGCATATTGAGGTTCAAAGTATTTCACATTATAAAGTCATAAAAATAACAGTTGCATATTAAGGTGCAACGAGTTGCACCCTAAAAAGTTGGGTTTTATTACAAAAATGTCACCTTGCCTTTATGTCCTTTGGATCAACTCACCGGACGGTCAAGATGAGTTTGTACTTTGTAAATTAAGAAGGCTTTGTATTTGATCTCTATTATATATATATATATATATATATATATATATATATATATATATAGAAAAGATCCTGTCCAGACGTCCGGACAGGAGCCGCCGTCCGGCCGGCGGCGTTTGGCCGCCTTCCCGGTGGATTTTTTTGATGAAATTTTTATGGCATGTTCTCCATCAAGTCTAGTTTATCCACAAAAAAATTCAGCCAAAAACTCAATCGGGAAGGTCGTCAAATGATTTTTGCAAGTTAACTGGTCCGGAATATGTATTTTCCGGACCAGTTAACTTGCAAAAATCATTTGACGACCTTCCCGATTGAGTTTTTAGCTGAATTTTTTTGTGGATAAACTAGACTTGATGGAGAACATGCCATAAAAATTTCATCAAAAAATTCCACCGGGAAGGCGGCCAAACGCCGCCGGCCGGACGGCGGCTCCTGTCCGGACGTCTGGACAGGAGCATTCCTCTATATATATATATATATATATATATATATATATATAATTTTTTGGGAGGGCGACCGTCCCCCTGGGTCTTTACTAACCCTGAACCTGCCAAACATGCAATGCGGAAAACCATAACAGCGAAATATAATGATCTAGAACGAATCAACGAATGACTTTCATCTCAATATCTGGCCTGAGTGCTCAACATGTAGTGGCCTGAAGGCCATTTGAACGTTGCTTATATATTCAATAATACATGGGCGTATCATTTGGTAACCCAAGATGCTATCTAGGGCTGGGACTTTGGAACCAAGAACCGGAGAACCGATCCGGACCGAACCGTTATGACCCGGTTCGGTTCGGTTCCAAAATTTATTAGTTATTTGTTAATGGTTCGGTTCCTACTTTTTATTAACGGTTCGGTTCTCGGTTCCTGTAAAAAATATGTACGTGGAACCGTTAAAGAACCGTTATATATAATAATTAAAATTATATATATTTCTTATTAGCATATGTATTTTAATGTATATTTACTTATTTATTTTCATATTACATTCACTATTTTAGTTTAGTTATTTAACTATTTGAAATTATTTTTCATTTAACTGGTTTTATTGGGCTTCTTTACCGAATATCTTGTTTTGTTTTTGTTTTCTAAAATTTGCAGTTTGTTGTGTATTTATCTTTTAAACTCAACTTTTGAGGTTTGAAATGAAATTCAACATATTTGTATTGTAATTTCAAGCGTTGAATGTATTTTTGACACAAATTTAACCGTGATTTGTAAGATTTTTTTTAAATACTAGAAACCGTTAAATGACAAGAACCGAACCGTTAAGAACGGTTCGGTTCCTTATCGGTTCTACAAAATAATTTATAAGAACCGAACCGTTAGTAAAATTTCACATTTTCAAACGGTTCCACATATTTCACCTAGGAACCGAACCGGTCCCAGGCCTAATGCTATCTATTACTCCGTATTAATTTACTCATGGCCCGGGCAGTGGGCAAGTTTTTTAATTATTGTGTACTCTTGAGAAAGCCAAAAGACACTCGAGCATTATTACATTTTTATGGAGTTCCATTTTGCGAAGTATAACAGTCGCACGCCTCTAATTATCATACCACTTGCTACCCCCACCTTCTTGCATTTTCTTGCTACAATTTTTCCCGCCCATTTCCTCCCTAATTCTCTCTCACACTTTTCTTTTTTACTATATAGATATAGATAAAACTAGTACCTTAGAGCATCTCCAATGGTATAATGTGCACGGTGCACACGTGGCATGAGAGATAGCCACATAAATATTAGTAAATAAATTCATCTCTCCTTATTTTAATGATTTTATACAGATTTAGTAAGTTTTTCTCCACAATGTCAATGAGACCGTCTAAATGTTGACATTGCAGGGAAAAACTTACCAAAATTGTATAAAATCATTCAAATAAGGAGAGAGATAATTTATTTGCTAATATTTATGTGGCTATCACTCATGCCACATGTGCACCGTGCACATTTTGGCATTGGAGATGCTCTTAAACTGCTCCGTTTCCTTCAAACCGCACGTCCATGGATTCCTCTTCTTGAGAGCTTTCTTTGGGCACCTCACACGCCTTATTTGGATAAGTATAGCTCGAGATATGAACCAAACAAGCAACCCAACGCACTGGAAAATAAACCTGCGGGCAGCTTCCCCTTTCTCTTGCTTCCTTGGTTGTGTGGCTCTCTCCTTCTCCCTTATCCTTGGGAGTTCGAATGAGGGGCTTAAAGGAGTGTCTAAGACCCTTCAATAAGGTTGGATAAATTGTGTGGAGTGAAATGAATTGGTATGGTCTCCATGAGATGTTTTTAGACATGGGTGGGTCTCACTTTTGATCTCTTTGTCATAAGATGTCTTTTTGTACCCATTCCAATTTATTTAGAACAAGTCAGCTCTCTACATCATATTATTGATCTCCAATATGTGTATGATCACCCAAATAATTTACATGATGAATATTATAGAAGAAAAAACCTACTCCTGTTATTTAGCTCGATAATACCAAAGATGGGACTATAGGCATTTGTATTCTTCCTTAGTCATTCTATCACTTATTTTGACATTTTTCATACATATTATTGGGCTACTAGCCGTGTGGGTCACTCCCGAGTGGGTCTAGGACGCCATTCTCGAATACTTGCTATTTTTAGCAGGTTGGGCCCAAAATAATGTTTGGGCCGCCCGACCTTTCTCAAATTGTCTTGAAAGGTTAAGTAACATTATTCAGGTAATGTGGGGCTCTTATGTTCATTAATAAGGCCCAAATAAGTATTTGCAAAACCCGACACTAATATACGAGTTTGAACAGTACAATATTCAATCATGCACTACGTAAAACGTAAATTGTTTTACAATTTTTTTATAAATGGAAATTCAATGCATAAACTTTGCATTTAAATTTGAATTTCAAGGACGCTCGGGTGCGGTGTCACAGAAGCAGAGGTCGATAGAATCGATGAGAATGTTCTCTTCCCCCCCTGAGTGCAGTGATTTTTCAGTTATGGCACTGATATATTGCATTAAATAATGTGGTATTTAATTGATATTTTGTGGGTAGTGCTGTGCAATTCTTTAAATTATAAAATTCATGGGTAAATTAGTTTTTATTACATTTTTAAGATTAAATCGGTAATATATATGGTGATTGAGAATGTTGAGTGTGTGGGTAATTAATGAATTATCGATTGTTTATGTAATGCAATAGCATTGCAATAAGTGTATTACATTGCACTAAGGCTATGTTTAGTATGATGTAATGCAGTGCAATAAAATGAAGTGCGTAATGCAATACAAAATGTAATGTAATGGAGTCTCTATTTCATTACTATGTTTGGTTACTTAAGTAACAACAACTTTGAATTGTAATCAACATTACATAATTATGTTTGTTTATCTCTCTCTCTCTCTCTCTCTCTCTCTCTCTCTCTATTTGTGAGTTGTAATCTCAAATACACATCTTATTTAATGTAATGCTTATTACACATATCAAAGTAATGAGTTCCACATGTGCAATGACCATTACATTACGGTTTAAAATAAAATGGCATACCAAACATCGTAATCAAATCAACATGTAATGCTCATTACATTACATAGTTGATTACGTCATACCAAACATAGCCTAAATGATATACTTGATTACACTGAATGAAAAACTTCCCGACCAAACATTTGTGCTAGGCAGCACCTTCAACAAACTCGAAACAAACTACCCGCAAAATGGTCGAGCAATCATCCCAACAAATCAGGGACCTTTCTGAGCAGCTGCGCGTTAGCAGGGCTTCGTGGACCCTGACATCCGGTGAACCTTCGGGTAGCGAGTGGTCTAACCCGTGCAAGATGGGGACCTCCTGATCCCGACTAGTGCTTGCAGGGACCCGAGGATCATTGTTTTTTGAAGAAGGCTCAGCCAATCAAAATTGGCTCGGGATAGATCCCCGACTCAGTATCACAAAAGAATCAGAGAGGCGTATTAACGGCCCCAGGCAACATCAGCCCAAATTGTCCAGCAGTGTCACCAAAAAATTCAAAAAGATAGCAGGTCTGAGCGCTGAAGCAGTGCAAGGCCCATTGCACAGCCTGCTTAAAATCTTAGTCGTCAAACTTGCGTCTACAGTATTCCAGTGTAGGCCCGAATCCAGCAAAAGAGCCGCTATATCTCCCAGTCACTGGCGTTACATAAACCCTTGAGTCAAGGCCCAAAACCCATCCCAGTACATCGTTATGCTGAGCGCCGCAACAGGTTGGGCGGGAATCCAAAAGAAGTCTGTGAGCTACAGGGATCGTTCAACGGATTGATAAGGTGGCAGATCAAAACGTTCCATCTTTGTGTCAGCATTCCGTCAAATGTGCTCCCGTCGTCTTCTCCGACATAAATGCGGATGATCCTTTGCAACCCAAGAAATCGAATCCACGCCACAATACGCATGTGACATCCACACAACCCCCCACTCAATTCCAACATCGCTCCGGCGGCCACAGTGGGAGCGACGAAAACCAGCCAAAAAAACATTCCTTGTAA